TATTCAATATTCTTCTCCAGCAACAAAACTCAAAGGCATCAATTATCTTTCTATCTAATCCTTGTCCAGCTCTCTGACACATAGTAATTGCAAAAACTATGGAGGATTCTGTAAACTTGTGATATGAGGCCTTTATCTGAAATGGTATTGCTAAATGTTAGGGTTTTGGGTTCCCCCTTTCCCAAGTCAGTAGGTTTTTGAAGAGATGATATTCTAACACTCAAGTAGGTCACTGAAGAACTAGCATATTTGAATTCTGACATGATTGATTATTTGGGAATTAGTTTCTTCCCTCCCCCCTCCCCAGTTTAATTTAGATGTAAAATAACTGACTTTTCTGTCAAGAAGAGAAAATATTGGGTGTTCTTTTCAAAGTTGGCAAACATAAAAATGGTTAGTTTTTAAATATTTATCATTCTATTCAGGCTGGTAACATGTTCATCCATGCATTAAATGACAACACAAGCAAAATGCTTAGTTGGCAAATGAGATCAGATGCATTCTTCTGCAGACATCAAAAGAGGATTAATACACTCAAAACTTTCAAATTCAGACTGGTCAATCTTCCTAACAATGTCATCATCATCTGGAGTGAGCTAGGCAGGTTCATTAGTATAATGGAGAATCAATGTTGTCCAAACAAAATTCTACAAAAATATTTTGTTTAAAGGGTAGTCCCACTTGCTTTTGTGCAAGTATATCCCAATCAACATTTTTAAAGAATGGATGTTCCTGTATATCCACAAATACAGTTTGCAGATGACAATCCAATCATTCTTTTGGATCCTTGTGGAGAAAACTCTTCAGGACACTTGCAGCTTTTAAAGAGAGAGAATGTGGTATTCAAATTCCTTTCTCCAACAGAACTTGGAAGAAATAATCTACTGTTTTGATCAAGGTTATCAGAGCTTCCAACAATATCAAAGGGCGACCTTCCTGCCATAATCTCAAACATTAGTACTCCAAGAGTCCACGAGTCAACACTGAAAACATAATCTTCTCCTCTTAACATCTCAGGAGCAATGTAATTAGTGCTAGTTGTATCTCCAGGCCACAATCCTTCCTTACACACACCATAGTCAATTTAATGTGTTCTTTGGAGTCCAGTAATACATTGTCTAATTTTGAATCTCTCTATAGTATCCCTCACTCATGAAGATATTTTAATGCTAGACTGATTTCTGCAGAGTAAAATTTGGCATATTCTTCACGAAGTTTTCTCTGTTGCTGCCTATAGAACATTAGAACTCCTCTATTTACATACTCATAATAAAGAACCTGCTTTCTGTCTGAAAGCAAGAATGTAGTACATCAAGAAAAGGATGATTGCATGCTTGCAATATCCTTGTCATCATTGACAAGCTCTTTCCCCCACAACTTTCATGACATAAATACAGTCTGGTTTTTTCAATTGAACCTGTAGTACTTTGGCATATATTTTCCTCTTGCTATTTCTCAGAGGAAAGCCAAGTCCTAAACTCAATGAAGCTTTGTCACTTTCCCTGGTGTTCACGCGTCCTTCTCTTCACCAACTTGACTGAAACTCTCACGGCTTGAAGGATTATATGGAATGTATGGACAATTGACCCATGGACATCATTGGTTCCAGTGGCACTGAATATCGCCCTCATTCAATTGTGACAAGTTTATGATACTTACCAACTTGGAGTTTGCAGCTGATGCACTTATATCCCTCATGTCCAAGTCCCTTGTGGAGTGACTATCAGGAGAATCCTGTGGTATTATTTTAAAACCAGTGAAATTATTTAACCTACTGATATGGAGCTGGTTGTGACATATCGTGACCCCTCTGTAGGTTTCTGAGGCTGTAAATTTTAATGTCAGGACACTCCTCTCTTTCTCCTCTAGAGCAGCTGGTAGATTTGAACTGTCAGAGACACAGCTTTTTGGTTAACAATGCAGCACCCTATGGACTAAACTACTAGAGCTCCTTAGAGAAATTCTAAGTACTCTTAAACCTTAAACTTACATTTCCCAAAGATTGCATAATCCTTGTTATGAGGTTTGGGGACACAGTTCATGAATTCAAAGAAAAGTCCAAGAGCATCAACTTAAAAATCTGTTATCTTAAAAAATCCTTTAATCAGAAGAGACTGCTTTTACATGAAAATATAACATTCTGAGTATTTTGAGCATTACATCAAGTGTTTGTTACATTATTATAAAAGTTCTCACAAGCAGCTTATAACCAGATGAAAACATTTATAAAAATAAATAGGCACCTTAGAAGTAAAACTTTTACACGTGAATGATTAGCAGTAAACATGTAGTCAATCTGTTTTTGGAGTGTTGAATCAATATAAAAACAAATGGTCAGGTTCTAGTTTAGTATTATTACATAATTCAGAAGGTATCAGCCATTGTTTTACAAGAGTAAAAAACTGGACATTTCTATTACATACTTGAACCTTTAATTTTGAGCTGGAAAGTTTATGAGATTGCTGTTGTAACATCAGAAAATAGTTTCAATATCTCAAATAATATATTTTTGAACTGGACATCTTGAACAAAATGTACAAAGAAGGATTCTGAAAGCTATTAAAAATACTTGAAGTAAACCTATTCTAGTGTTTTACAATGTTACAAAAGCAGGAATTAAATACATTGATATTTCAATTATTTTACCAATTTACAATATTTACAAACTTTACATACTAAAAGTTATGCTAAAATCGGGTGTTTGAAAGGAAAAATTTAATTGAGTTGGTATACTCAATTATACCAAATTAAGTAACTAAAAAGTAATAATCACCTGTTTTTAGAAAAATTATCTTGAAAATTCTCCACTAATGGAAGACAAAATTTGACCAAATTTGGTAACTGGATGAGATCAAACTTTTAAAAGCAATTATTTTCCATTTATCTAAGAGTATTAAATTTTAATAATTTACATTTTAGAATATTTTAATATAATTAATGGAATCAATATAAATATTGTTACACTTGTGACATGTGTCCATCTATGAATATAATAAAAATTTAGATTTTATTATTTTTATTTCTCTACAGTGGACAATAGAAAAACTATTCTAAACCAGATGAGTATAAAATAAAATGGCAACCAAAGAAGCAAGGCAAACACAAGAACCTGTTCTGAGTTTTAAATCTCACGGCTGTGGAGTCAGAATCCACTCAGAGGTGGCTCTCCACTGGGTTTTTGAGGCTGTAAATCACAGAGTGGGAGACTGCAGAGGCGGCATTGGTGGATTCAAACTGCCTTTGAGTCAACGGTCCTTACAGATGTCACCACCAAAGTTCCCTAAGGTTATACAGTAGTGCGAAATTTCTTTCTTAAGCAAGCCCCTCTTCATGATAATAACTTGTAAAATTACTGGTTAGAGTAGAAAATGGGGGAGAAGGAACACTCAAATTAAGAAGACATTTCATCAAATAAATCCTTTACACTAACAGCAGAAATTTTAAAGTGGAAATACAGATTTGCAGATTCAAAAATAGGAAAATCAATAAATTGGGCTGACAGCCTACCATCAGATAAAACTAGGGAAATTTTAAGCATCACAGTTACATTCCCAATGAGAAGGCTCTATGTTAATTACTAACACTGGTCATTAGCAGCCCAAAGTAAACCAAACCAAGTAGCTTTTCACATTTCATATAAAATTAGAAACAAATGTAACAAGACAATGCAATGAAATATTTTAATTATGTTTAGCTTACATGGCTGAAGTAATATGTTATGAATACATACAATAGTTAAGTGTATGCTAACTAGGTATTCTCTTGACAGGTTTTAGGAGCAAAAGTAAGTTCCCTGTGACACTGACAATTTAATTGAAAAACTGTCAATTATTAAGGCATATCCCCCCTCCAACTGCTACATACTTAATGAGTAAAAAATATTTTAAGACACTTAAAGGGATCATATGTACTAGACTGTCATAGAAGTCAAAAACAAATGGGTGAAGCCCTCTTTTGGTAACCCATTAGAAGTGCTTCTTCATAAAGCAAATAATGTTTTGACCAAACAATGTCTATCACCTGTTATATTGTTTTCCAATTAGCATAGTAACTAATCTAAAAACACGGTTATCAGATATTTAAGCCACATAATAGAGGGGTAAAAAAAATAAAGGAATAAATGAAATTTTTATTTAGCTGTAGCAAATAATAAATGACTTGTGTACCTTGATTTTCTACTGCAAGGCATGCAAAGGGACTTAAAATATTCATTAAGTTGGCCATCATATAAAGAATGATATACACCACTCTTCACTTATAGAATATCTCGCTATCCAATATTTTACATTTGATAGTAATAAAATATCTATTTCAATAAACAACTATTCTGCATTAATGACACACATCTGGCAGTAAGTAACAAATGCTAAGACACGAGGCAAGAGTAATTAATGGCTGTGATGGTTAAAATTACAGGCCAACTTGGCCGGGCCATGGTTCTCAGCAGTCTGGCAGTTATGTAATGATAAAATTTGGCAGTTATGTGGTCACCTTCCATTTTTGCATAATGCTGATTTTTCACATAATGACCTGATTTTGCAATTTAACCTTACTGATAAGTGAAGAGTAGGTATAATTTAGACATATACATAGTTAAAATGATTAATGACTTACATGCCAAGTTTTTCATTTTCTGTATTTCACTATGTATTGTCAGTAGGTTCCTTGTTCCCATGTCAAGACTCTTTTAAGTATGTTGTTTGTTGTTATGTGCCACGGAGTTTGAGCCAACTCATAGCTGATCTTCCAGCGGATTTTCAGAAGCTATAAATTGCACAGGAAAGGACTGCCCATCTTTCTCCGACAGAGCAGTCAGTGGATTTGAACAGCATGCCTTTGGGTCCGCAGCGCAACTTCTCAGCCCTAGACCACCAGAGCTCCGGTATGTTGTTGTATAAGCTTGCCAATTTCATCATTTATCTATTACAGTGTAAGCTACATTTATATTGTTGCTTAGGACAACTTAACTGTATTATTATGTAACACATCTAGACCATTTTTCAACCAGACAGCAAATGATCTTCAAAAAAGCTACTGCTCTATGGAAAACAGAGCTTGGGCCTCTGATGGTATTTCAATCTATATGTATCAGTCATGCAGCTATCGACTGAAAAATAGGTAGTTAATGAAATTGTCTCATTTGGACACACAGAGCTAGAATCTACTTCTGGTTGGCAAAATGCATCAACAACTGCACCTGAGTCTGTTTGAAAATCGTTAAGTGAAGAGCTGGACAGAAAATCTGGTGTGCTGCTGATACCCTCCTTCACTTGAAATGTTTCATTAAGTCTTTCATCATTCACATAAGTACTCACTTCTGAACATGGTTCTGAAGCTATATTTACACTGTGCTTTGGAAGACACAAAGAATTAGCTTTAAATATGTCTTTACGTTTCACATCGGGAGTAGATGTATTTTTTCCTGACTGTGGCACACTAGTTGTATATTTCTTTGGTGGCAGAGGGGGTGGTAGATTCTGGCAAACAAGTTTTGGTGGCTGAGAATCATCAGATTTGCAGAGAGATGAAATGTTATGTTCCCTGGATGGAGAACTCTCGGAGTGACATTGTTCCATCATATTTGGCTGCTGAAAAATAGAAACAGTTTCTGGCTTTAACCCAGTAGTTCTTGGGTGTGATGATCGCAATGAAGAAGGTGAAATGATCTCATTAGTGTTCATTCTTTTTCCAGAAGCAGAAGTGTCATCAACATAAAAAGGTAAAGCTGTTCTTTCAGAATTTTCTACGTTAAGCCTTTCAGAAAGTTTGTGTTCACGGGATTTTTCACCCTTCTGTTCACCTGATGAATGTAAATGGTCTTGTGCAGCAGAGTCCTTGAGGATTTGTGGACTGCATGAAGAGATTAATTTTCCACTGGTTTCATGTGTGTAGGATCTGAAATATGAACATATTAATTATAAAATATGAAAATTCTATTAAAAAACACACTTAAAAACAAAGTAAAAGATGCAAAACAGGAAACATTTCAAATGTTTCTCCGGTAATCTAACTTTCCTAATTAATTCATTGTATTATTATAAAAATGATATTGTGTAACAACTAACATCTCCTAGTTTCTGAACCCAAATTTATGGCAGAATATATGAATGCTTATCAGAAATCTCCATCATGACTAAAGTCAGATGTTCAAAACTAAACAAAATCATTTTGACTTATAAACACATAAATTACATATTTTTACATCACATTATTTGTGACAAAATGTACCACAGAACTTAAAGGAAAAATATATTAAAAATGATTCTGTACTCATGTAAGTATTGTGACATATGGTGCTGTCAAACCAATTCTGACGCACAGTGATGCCTTGCACAGCATAGTGGGACACTGCTCAGTCCTGCTCCATCCTAATCATCACTGCTATATCCAAACCCACTGTTACAGCCACTGTAGCAATCTGTTTTGCTAAGGGTTGTCTTCTTTTGCATGGGCCCTCTATTTTGGCACTCTGGTGGCCTAGTGGTCAGAAGCTTTGCTGCAATCCCAAAGGCATACGGTTTGAATCCACCAACTGCTCTGCAAAAGGAGGATGGGAAATCGCCTCCTTTGTGATTTACTGCCTCTGAAATCCTGCTGGAATGTCAGCTATGAGTTGATTCTGACTTGACGACACACAACAATAGGAACTGTCCTCACCTGCTAACAAGTCCAAAACTTGTAAGAAGTTTTGCCATCTTTGTGCCTAAGAGCATTCTGGCTGTACTCTAAGAGTTATATATTCAAAATTCCTTGCCAACACCATCATTCAGAGGCATCAATTCATATTCAGACTTTCTCCACTTTTTTTTCTATTTTTAGTTGGTTTATAAAAACTTTTATTAATTTTGATGAAAGTTTACAGAGACTTAGGGTTTCCATTCATTCATTGTTGCACTTCTTCTTACACTTTTGTATGCATATGAGGCACTGAAAAGGACATGGCTTTGGTTAGGTGGTACAACTTACTCCTCAAAATGACATTCTTGCTTTTTTTTTTTACATCCTTGCTTTAAAGAGGCCCCTGGTGGCAGATTTGACCAATATCATACATCATTCGATTTAACTGTGGCTTCTATGGGCACTGATTATGGAGCCAAGTAAAACGATAAACCTTGACAACCTCAATTTTTCCTGCATTTATTGTGCCATTGATTGTTTTATGTCCAGGTAGAGAAGGCTGAAGTCATTGGTCTTTCCCACCAAGTGGATCAAGTCATCTTCATTTTCGACAACCAAAGGTGAGTCATCTGCATATCACACATTGTGACTGCTCCCACCTATCACAATGTCACCTTTACATTAAGTCTTATTTCTCAGATTATTTGCTCAGCATACCAATTGAGTAAGTAGGGAGGCAAAACCGATTCACACTTTTTCTGGTTTTAAACCAGAATCTCTTTATTCTGTCTGAATACTTATCCTTTGGTGTATGTAAAGGTTACACATAATCACAGTTAAGGATTATGAATTCTAATTCTTTGCAATTTTATCCATAATTTGTTATGATCTATGCAGTTGAGTGTCTTTTTTGCCAATAAAACATAGGCAGGCATTTTGGTATTCTCTGTGTGCTGTTAGGACCTATCTGGCACCTACAATGGTATCCCTTGTTGTACATCTTGTGAATCCAGCTTGAGTTTCTGGCAGTGTCTTGATGATGAAGTTGTTGTTGGGGCCATAAAGCGGAATATGACCTATAGCGATGCTATGAACAACAGATATGAACCGTGTCTCATCCTGTGCCATCCTCACCATCTCTGACATACTTGAGACCATTACTACAGTCACTGTGTCAATCCATCTGGTTGAGGTTTGTCCTCTCTTTTGCTGACCTGGCATCTTTCCAAGCTTGATGCCCCTCTCCAATGAACAGCCTCTCCTAGCAACATGCACAAATTATGTGAGACGAAGCTTTGCCACCTTTGACTCCAAGAAGCACTCTGGCTGTGCCTTCTCTAAGACTCTTTGTTATTTGGGAGTCCACAGGGCATTCAGTACTTTCTCCAACACCACAGGCCAAAGGTATTAATTCTTTTGTCTTCTTTATTTGTTGTCCAGCTTTCAGATGCCCAGCAAGTAAATGAAAACACCATGGCCTAAAGAAGGTACACCTTAGTACTCAAAGTGACATCATTGCTCCTCAATAATTTCTCACATTCCCTGACTGCAGACTTTCCTAGTATATTACGCCACCAGACTGCTACTATCAAGTGTGTTGATTGTGGATCTAAGATGAAGTTCTTGACAGTTTTAGTATTTTCTCCATCTATCATGATGTTACCTATCAGTCCAATGGTGAGAATCTTTGTTTTCTTGATGTTAAGATGTCATCCATATTGAAGGCTGTAGTCTTTGATCTTCTGCAAGAAGTATTTTGAGTCATCCTCCATTTCAGCAAGTAAGGTTGTTTAATCTGCATAACATAGGTCGTTGATGAGTGTTCCTCCAATACTGATACATTTTTCTTCATAGAGGTCAGCATCTCAAATGATTTGCTCACCATACAGACGGAATAGGTATGGAGAAAGGATACAATCCTGATTGACACTTGTCCTGATTTTAACCTATGCATGCAGTGTTCTCTTTTGTTGTTTGGATAACAGTTCTTAGCTTAGATATATGCACGAGCAGTATTAGTGTTCTGGGATGCCTTCTTTTCCTCAATGTTAGCCATAATTTATAATAATCCACACAGTCAAATGCCTTTGCATAGTCATATAGGACAAACAGACATTCTTCTGGCATTCTTTGCTTACAGCCAGGATATATCTAACTTAAGCAATGCATACCTGATACGATGGCCTCTTCCAAATTCATCTTGAACTTTTGGCAGTTCTCTGTCTATGTACTGTTCTAGTCCTTTTTTTATGATCTTCAGCAGTATTTTGCTTGCATGTAGTATTAATGATATTGTTTGATAATTTCCATCTTTCTTGGAAATGGGAATAAATATGGATTTCCTTTAATCAGTCGGCCAGGCCGTTGTCCTCTACATTTCTTGGCACTGACCTCTGAGCATGTCCAGGGTGTTGAGACCTTATATATTGCCAGTGACTTTAGTACAGATTGAACTTCTTATCTTCCTTAACATTGGCTTTTTTTTCTTTTATAAAATTTTTATTTTATACTGGTCTACTTACAAAGTTGGTATACATTGTTTTTCACATCACATTTTTCCCATTTCCTTTACTCACCCTTCCCTCCCCCATCAAATTGTGTGACCCTATGATTACTTCCTCCCCCAATCCTCACCTGTCTGCTTTCACCCTCTGTCCACTGGATCCTCATACACATTTGACTATTCATCTTTCTATTTCTACAATAATGGTCTTATAAAGTGTTTGTCCTTATGGGACTGAGTTAGTTCACTTAGTATAATGCTCTCTAGTCCCTCCCAAGTTAGGTAGTGATTTCCAAAATCAATGCTCCTGTGTGGTATTTAGTATTACATCGTGGTTCTCAATCCATTTAGCTGTGGTTGGACATTTGGGCTGTTTCCATGTTCTTGAGATGGTGAATAGTACTGTTCTGAACATTCGTGTACAAATCTCTGTGCCTCAGTTCTAATTTTTTTGGAGTATATTCCAAGCAGTGGAGTAGCCTGGTCATATGAAATTTCTATGTTGCTTTCTGAGGCAATACCACACTGCCTTCCACAGTGATTGTACCATTTTACAATCCCACCAACAATGTATAAGAGTTCCTATCTTCCTACATCCTCTCCAACATTTATTACTTGCTCTCCTGTTAAACTTTGCTACTGCTATTGAGTGAGATGGCATATCATTGTGATTTTGATTTGCATCCTTCTTATTGCTAGTGATTTTAAGTATTTCTTCATGTGTCTGTTGGGCATCTGAATATCTTCCTCTGTGACAAGTCTTTCCATGTCTTTTACCCGTTTTGTAATTGTGTTATCAGTCTCTCTGGTAGAGGCTCTGTAGGACTCTGTAAACTTTTGATATGAGACCCTTATCTGAAATGGTATTGCCAAATGTTTTTTCCCAGTCAGGAGGTTTTCTTTTTACCATTGGCTCTTGATCATACGGTACTTCCTGAAACAGCGTTGGCCAATTCTCTTTGGTACAGATATTCTAGGTGTTCCCTCTATCTTCTTTTGGTGATTCCTGGGTCATTCAAGATTTTGCCCATCGCATTTCTCAGTATTACAACACAAAGCTCGGATGCGTTTTTCAGTCCTTGAAGACTGAGATATGCCAAGTGACTTTTTATTCTCCAATTTGAGCTCTCTGTACATTCCATTATAATGCTGTGCATTGTGTTTGCGAGCTTCCCTTTGAAATCTGTCCAGCTTCTCTTCCCTTTGTTTTGGTGTCTCAATGCTCTAGTGTAATCCCCCCCCCCATCTCCACCTTCCAGCCCCTCTACTGCTAATGTCAGAGTCTCTTATGGCATGTTTGTTGTTGTTTTTTCTTTCTCTTATATCTTTGTAATTACCTTTGCTCTCTTCATGAATGATCCTTTCTCTCTCCCTCTAACAATTACTGTTGAAGAGTACTGCTGAGTCAGCTCCTACCCATCATAGCGATGATCCATGAAGAGGGCAAAAAGTAGATGCACTACTGCACCCATTTTTAAATTATCTTTAGCAAAATTTTTCTTAGATTACTATGTTGTATAAATACTAATTAAAAATTGTGTAGTCAATTAAGACTGCTTTTACATAGGCAATAAAGTGAACTTCTAAGATGAAGACTGTATGCAGCATTGCTAATGTATTTTATGGTGACTATTTTTTTCATAGAAATTACATGGACTTTTAGTTCCACAGAATTGGTGCTTTGTTATGAGAGAAGTAGGCTCAAATTTTAGCTCCACTGCTTTGAACAAACTATTTAATCTATGTCTCAAATTATCAGTGTTGTAAATACTACCTACATTTTAAGAATGCTATGTAAGAATGCTGAGGAATAAAACAGAACCATGTATCTGGCACTTGGTAAACAATGAACCCATGGGTCAAAAATCCCATTAATAAGGTTGTTTTTGTTGTGTACCGTCGAGCAGGAACGACCCATGGCTGACCCTCTAGCAGGTTTTCTGAGGCAGTTAATCACAGGACATTCTGTAATGTTGTAGATCCATTGCTTTCAAGATGGTTGCTGCTGTTATGTGCTCTTGAGTCAAAGCAGATCCATAGCTGACCCTTCAGCAGATTTTCAGAGGTAGGAACTGCATGGAAGAGTGGCCATATTTCTCCTGCTGAGCAGCTGGTGGATTCAAACCATGTGTCTTTGAGTTGGCAGTGCAGCTCTTTACAGTTAGGCCACTAGTCCTCCCTTCAGGGTTGTTCTTATAACACATGTTTTCGAAAAGATGGTTCTAATATTTCTAACATTTGTAGTTACCTTTTCACTATAGGATTTTTCATTGGCAGGTGTGATTCTGGGTGGAACTCATGAGATATACATCCAGGTTCCAAGCTCTTGAGTTCTCTTCTACAACCTGATGGAAAACAAACAAAAAATATTTCAATGAATTCTCAAGAGTTTGCTCAATTTATATATACTTATTTACATAAAGTTCTCTGTAGAGAAAATGTCCTTAAATCAATAAAAAGACAACAACAAGAAGAAAACCAATTCCTCAAGATTTAATTAAAATGGTATCTTTTTCTGAACCTTTCAGCAAAATTAACAACTCTTTCCTCAGTCCATCATTTGATGGTATTAGAAAGAACTGGCAGAATAATGCTATTCCCATTGTGATGGGTAAGGCTGTGTGTGTTCCCTATTATATGAAATGCAATATTTATTAACAAATTGGCATTGTAGAAAAAAAATCATTTGAAAATAAATGCTTTGGGTTGAAATCTGGAGTCACAAATTACTGTTTAGTAAACCAGGAAAGTCCCTTAATACCTCACCACTGGCATTTTGTAATTTTCACAACGAAGGTATCTTTTTTTTTTACCTACTTCAGCAGTGTTAAATTAGCAGAACTAAAAAGGGTCAAAGAGTACAGTTGACCTCCAGCAGGTTTTCAAAGACAATAAATTGCATGAGAAGAGGTTGTCCATCCTCCATGGAGCAAATAGTGGATCCAAACTGTGTATACAACAAATGTTTGACCATTTAGCTACCTTTATTAAGTGTTTAAATTTTAAGAAGCTGATATTGAGCACACTTAGTAACAATCTAATAACAAAACTATTCTTTCTTCCATTTTACATGTGAAGAAAGATTCAGAAAGGTGAAGTAACTTGGGGAACTCGGGGTATAGTCCCTCAGGAGTTGTGCTGTTAACCCAAAGACAGAGCTCTCTGCTAGTTCAAATTCAATAGGTATGGAGAAAGGATACATTCTGGTCGCAGACCTTTCCTAATTCTAAATCCTTATTGGTCCTTAATTATACGCTCTTGTGGTTTAGTGGTAAGGAGTTGAGCTACCAACCCAAATGCACACAGTTTGAATCCACCAACTGCCCCATGGGAGAACGAACAATCTCCACCTTATGTGATTTACTGCTTCTGAAAGCTGGCTGGACAACCAGTTATGAGTTGGTTCCAAATGAATGGTGTGTAACAACAATCATACGCTACCTCCTGAAATATCTGAGCATTTGCCAATCATTTTTGGTAAGGTGACTCTGCATAATCCCTTCAATCTTCTATTGAGGTTTCCTGTGTTTTCAGTGAATATGCTGCTAACACAGAATCCGTTAGTATTACAACTCAAGACATAAATTTTTTTTCTTGGTTTCTTTCAGTCTGAGAAATGCTGTTTTTCTGTTTTCGTTTTCTAAGCTCAGGTCTTTGCACATTTCATTATAATACCTAACGTTTTTTTGCTAAGCCATCTTTGAAATCTATTCAGCTCTATTCATCATTTTTTCCTTTCATTTTAGCTTTACTGTGTAATAGCAGCAAATTTTAACCTCACTTTTGTCATTGATTTTGGTCTTTCCTTTTCTATCACTGTAATGGCTTTTTGCTTTCTTCAAGTATAATTCCTTGTCATCATCTCATGACTCTTCTGGTCTTTGCTATTAAAATCCAATACATTTAATCTAATCTTGAGCTGATCTTTAAATGAGGTATTATCAGGGCTCTCTGGTGGCTTTCATGAACTCATTTTCATTTTCTTCAGCTTCAGTTTGAAATAGCATATGAGCAATGATGCTGAGGAGCAGTCAGACTTCATTCTCACTGGCAATACTGAGTTTCAACATTTCTTTCCACAGATGTACTGGTTTTCATTCTTATATATTCCATCTAGTGAGATCAATGTGTATAGCTATCATTTTTATCTTTATAAAAGGTACATGCAGTAAGTAAATCATTGGTTGTACAAATTCCATCATGTGATCTCAAGAATCATTTCTATTTCCAAGGCTATATTTTCTAACCACGGATCCATCTTTGTTTCTATCTTTTGCATTCGTCTCCAGTAATTATCAATGCATGTTAGCTGCATATTTGATCATTTCAGGCCTCAGAATTGGTAGAAATCTTCAATTCTTTAATCTTTGGTTTTAAAAGTTTGTATGTCAGATGGATCTTGGCTCAAAGTAGAGACTACCAGCTATCTTGCTTCGTTGATTATGCAAAGGCATTTGACAGTGTGCATCAATCAAAACAAACTGTGGCTGACTGTGGGAAGAATGGGAATCCCAGAACACTTGATTGTGCTTATGTGAAACCTATACTTGGACCAGGAGGCAATCATCAGAACAGAATGAGGAAACACGGCATGGTTCAAAATTGGGAAGGGTTTATGACAGGGATGTGTCCCATCTCCACACCTTTTCAATCTGTATGCAGAACAGATTATCCGGGAGGCTGAGCTCTATGAGAAGTGTGGCATCAGGATTGCAGGTAGACTCATCAATAATCTGCATTATGGAGAAGACATAACCCTGCTTGCTGAAACTGAGGAGGACCTGAAACACTTGCTGCGGAGGGTCAAGGACTGAAGCCTTCAATATGGATTAAAAATTTAACATCAAGAAAACAAAGATTCTCACCACTGGGCCAATTAGCAGCATCATGATGGTTAATGAAGAGATTGAGATTGTTCACAGCTTCAGTTTGGTTGACTCTACAATCAACACTCTTGCTACCAGCAGCCAGAAAATTAAAAGACAAATTGCACTGGGAAAGTTTGCTGTCAGAGACCTCTCCAAGGTACTGAGGAGCAATGATGTCAGTCTGGAGACTAAGGGGCGCCTGATAAAGGCCATTGTCTTTACAATTACTTGCTATGCATGAGAGAGCTGGACAATGAGCAGGGATGACAGAAGAAGAGTGGATGCCTTTTGAGCTTCGGTGCTAGAGAAGAGTGTTGAATATACCATGGACTGCTAGAATAACAAACAAGTTCATCCTGGAGAGGGTGAAGCCAGGCTGCTCCTTGGAGGTAATGATTCTGAAGCTCTGTCTGACATACTTTGGACATGTGGCAAGGTGGGATCAGTCCTTAGAGAGTGATGTCATGCTTGGCAGGGTGGAGGGACAGTGCAGGAGAGGAAGACCCTCGATGAGATGGATTGATTCCATCACTGGGGTAACGGGGATAGGTGTGTCGGAGACAGTAAGATCGGTAAGGGATAGAACAGGATTTAGGGCTGTGTAAATAAGGTCGCTATGAGTTGCAGGCAACTCGATGGCACACAACAACAACAACATATCAATTTGAGTAAGAGTTGTATCAACATTCCTTGCATATGTTATCTTTAGGTGCTATCACACTGACAATCCCTATGATTTCTTGTAACCCTATGAAAAACAGGTTGAAACCATACCCTATCCTGGGCCTTGTATGTGTGTGGCTATACACTCACAGCATTATATGTTAGGATAGATCTTGAAATATTCTTTTTAAAATGAATGTGAAACCATTCCTTTTCAATTTTACTTTCTCAGTATAATAGATTATAGGACCAATTAAAAATAGCTTAGTCCAATATACCTCATTAAATGCCTAATATACCAATCTTTACATATTCCATTTCATTTTGGGCGACTATGCAATATACACAGAAATTTAGTATCTTATATGGAATACTGTTTACATAGTAAATGGTACCTGAAGAGAACTAGAAGTCTGAAATTAAGCTGATGTTTAGTTTAATATAGAGATACAGCACACACAAGGGAGCTCTGGAGGCCTAGCGGTAAGTAGCTGCACTGCAATCTCAAAAGCATGCAGATCGAGGCCACCAGCCACTCCTTGGAGAAGGATGGACAGTCTCCTTCCATGCGATTAACCGCCCCTGAAAACCCACTGGAAGGTCAGCTATGGGTCAGTTCCGACTCTACAGTACATGACAATAACCTAGCACACACAGGGTGCTCAGTGACTATGTGCAAATTAATAAGTAATTACATAAAAACATTTTTTTTCTATTTAAATTCTCAACTCAGCCCACTAGCTTCCCAACTTGATGATAAAGGACCAGATATGGACCCTCTTACTTTCCTTCTCCACTCATCTCAAGTCTATGGGCAGCTATATTATCAAAACTTTAAAAATAAAAGGTAATACATAGAATGAAAAATCAGGATTCTCAAACTTTTCCCCAACTTACCAAAAAAAAAAAAAAAAAAAAAAGGTACTCCCTGAAAAGTTGAATATAAGTATGGTAGAAACTTAAATTAAAAACACAATTGTTTTTAATTGAAATGAGTGAAAGAAAAGAAATAGTAAAACTGCAGCTTGTGAAAGAAGACTTGTAGTGTTGTGGTTGAGTATCATCAAGTCATAACCAACCCATAGCTGACCCTCCAGTAGGTTTTCAGAGGCAGTAAATCCCAAGGGAGGGGACTCCTCATCTTCCTTCCCTAGAGCAGCCAGTGGAGTCGAACCGTGTACCTTTGAGTTGGCACTGTAATTCCTTCCCACTAAATGAGCAAGCTCCCTGAAGACTCATGAGACCCAGAAAAACAAGGCAGTCCTGTTGAGTTTCAGTTATCACTTTCAATGTATAATTTATCCCAGAAAAATCTCTCTATTAATAGTATACTGGGGATTTTTTGCTTAAGAAAATAGTTGCAGTTAAATCGCTACAGGCTGAAAAAAATTATGTTATTTTGCTTTGACAGCTATCATATGATTTAAAAAGTCCAAAGTTTTTTAATATTAAAAATGTGAAAACTTTGTAAATTGAGGTTACATTATAATTTTAAAACCAATGATTGTTTTAAACCTTAGAATATTTCTTTTACTTCGTAAGTTACCTACAAGGAAAAACAAACAAACAAATAAAACCCCCTCCTTTATTTTTCAGAACTGTTTAAAGTATCCACACAATGGGCAGTAGGAGGCAGCAGAGGTTTTATAAACACGTTTGAAATTTTAATATTACTATGGCAGCCATTCAGCTAAGTGGTTTGACTTCAGAATTCCAACTAACTTAAAAATAGATGTGTTATTTTTCTCTTCTGCTGACATAGACATCTACGTGTCTTTACTAGGAATTCTGGATCCAGGTGCCCTGCAAAACTA